TCTATCCCAGTTTCCGTGTCATGGTATCTCATGATAAGAGGCGATTCTGTCAATAATGCTTGTCCACAGGAACCGACAGGTCAAAAACAAGATGGATAAATCCATAAAGGTCCATTCTGAAGCTTTGTGGCCAAAATGAATTGCACAAACTATGGCCGTGTTAAATTTTTCAAGTAGAAGACATTCCATCTTTATAATTCTCTATGTGAGAAAAATCGATATCAAATATATCTTCTAAAAAATCTAAAATGTGAGAAGAATGTTTTGCATATTACAATCAATGCTCCAAAATAATCAGTCGATTTGATTCCTTAAAATTTTTCTATTTTACTAACAATAGTGTCCCGTTAACACTTTTCTTAATTTAATTGAATTAATAAATTATCGGCAGGGCACTTGTTGAAAAATCTGTTTGATAGTAAAGATTTTACTGTCATCTCGAATTCGAGAAATTAAGCGATTCTCTCTCTTCAATTTATGAGAAAAAAATCAGACATTGTTTGTACAGGTATAGAATGACGAATAGGTTGGTTAACTGATTGTGATTAGTGTCAATCATGACGTTAGTAGAGTCAAGCTTGAGCTGGTCGAGAGCTGCTCCAATCGATATCAGTTGTAAGTTAAGCGTGCAGGGTCGATTCTACCAACGTCAATTGACTCGTCGTCGCGGTTTCGATTCTCACTTTCCTTCCGGGGGTGGGTAAAAGACGGACAGGTGGGCGGAAAAAAGAAATGTCGTGATTCCGGATATAATGCAGCATATATAATATCAGTAATTTACCAGTAATAGACGGTGATAATAATTTAATAAAATCGAGCAATCGGTCATTTATTCCATGCCGTATTCTCTGTATGTCTTTTTCTCAATAACTGCGTTCAACAGAAAAAAAAACATGCATTTAGATTCAGCGAAGAATTAAGAGGAATTAAAAGCAAGAACTAATTAAGATCATTCTATAATTATATTGTAAGCGTAGTAAATAGTTGTAGTTGTATTTAATCAATCACAGTCAAATATATTAGGAAAATATTCGACTGTGATTAGTCAATTCTTACAATTACAACTACTTACAACTACGCTTACACAATTGTAGAATGGGTTTTATATTAAAAGATCTTACAACAGTCGTAAAACTTTTTCTGCTAAACGCATCCATTGATTGATATATTTAGCGGTATCAGGTGATTATCCATTGAACGGATGTCTGGATTCGACCACCGATATGCTGATTAATTCCGGGATTAGTTGACCAAGTCTCCTCTTTCCCCTCGGGATAGTAACGTTGGTGATGTAATATGGGCAATTATGTGGGATTAATGCTGAACGATATTGGTGGAATATAGGTTTCCAAACGAGCCGCGCACGTAATGGCAGTGCGAAATGTATGTCTGAATAAACGCTGGGATGTTCCACTGAGAAATGCATGTGATACCGAAACGCTTCTATTCGCATGCAATTTCTTAGTCAGTATCGAATTCGAAGCTTAAACAGCTTTCTTTCTTCTCTTCTTTTTTTTTTCTTCTATAGTACTCTTTTTTTTCACGAAAAACAATACTTCTCCCTTTTTCCCAGATTGATTCAATTTTCGATCCTTTCTTACCCAATCAAGGAGGAAGTTTCTTAAATCTCTCGGAGAGACTCGCGATAGAAAGATAAATGCTTTTGGAATATTATTGGATCCCTCACACTGTCGAACAGGCGAAAAGAAGATATTCTTGATTCCTGCCTGAGTCACATGAAGTATCCTTTTTATAAAATTGCACGGATTATTAAACTCCCCAACTATTACGTCTCGGCGAACAACTTCACTACGGGAGAACGAAAATAGATGTTCTAATATTTTTTCTTCTTCTTTATCAATGTATATCTTCATCAATGGCTGCGTTCAGAAAAGAGCAGCTTCGCAACTGTTGTAAAATTCTTTAATATAATTGATCTCTTTCTTACTCACTGGATCAAAATATAAATCAGCCATATTAAAAAATTTTACAATTGCAAAGCTGCTCTTTCTGTTGAACGCGTTTTTTTTTTCTTTCCTAATTACTATTTATACAAATTGTCTTCCTTGTTGCACATACAAGAGGCTTATTACGGTTCTTAGAGCGAGGTGAAAATTACAGAAGTGAGTGAATTTACTAGAATATTTATCACTTCATTGGACAACACCTATACAGTGAAATGCTTTCGTAATTTTCACTTCGTTTCGAACGATTAGATTCTGTATCACTACACAACTCGGTAAAATTTAGAAAAATTATTGAATTTATACTGGAATATTTATAACTTCATTAAACATCTAGATAGACAACATTTAGTCAACATCTAATTAATTTGCTTATTTTTTAAATTTTCTTCTCGTTTCAAGAATACAAAATTATTACGTTTCAAGAATCGTAATAAACTTTCAGACTCCTTTGCGAGCGAATTATTTGGCCGCAAAGTTCGCTTTTGTCGTTCATCGTGATATACCCTCAGTTGACACATCATTCATGAAAAATTCGATTCGTATTCCCGATGTGCCGAATATTCCAAAACAGAGAAAGAACTTTCACAGAGAATGTTCAAATATTAATGAAATATTCGGAATAAATATTGTATGAACACTTTTCTTGTGCGAGCAGTACGCATCCCCGACGACAGAGGGTCGTAATAGCGAAGATACATTAACTCGTAAATAAAAAAGGGAAAGAGTATAAAAAGCGTAGGGACGCGTTCAGAAATTACTCCTAGATAACTCTAGACTATAATTTACGTCGCTGTAATTTACGTATATTATAACAAAAGTGCACATCAGAGTTATCTGTAGGTAATTTCTGAACGCATCCTCATGCATTTCGCTTGTGAAGTGAATCCCCCAAAATTATTCTAAGAAAGTGAAAGCAAATAAAATTTCTGACAGTGCAATTTCGTTTAATTAATTCAGGGACTTCCGAAATATGGAATTTCTGGGAAAAGTGTGATTTCATGAAATATATAGCGTTGTATGAATGGAATATTTAACAATTATTTGCACTCTAAATTTTTGAGAGTGAAGTTTGAATGAGTCTCGCTCCAAGAAAAGTGATAGTTACGTCAATCTGACAAGAATGAATTTCACTTCACTCCTACAAGGAGTGAATTTCCTAAAAAATCAATTTTAATGATTAATATTAATATTTCGCTTCGCGAGACAGAACGACGTCTTTTTCTACCAGATTCATTCATTTTGTGTAAAGACACATCGAATGAGCTTAATTTCGTCAAGATTGAATGTGGGCGGACTAAACTTAACATTTATCTTCAGCCTCTCTTTTCGGAGAGTGAGATTATTCAGAGATTAAAAATTGACTCTCGCTTGAAGTTTTTTTCTTCACTCTCTAAGAGTGAAAATTTTATTTCTGCTGGACTGGCGCAACTTCTATTATTCGGAAGTGAAATTTTATTCTCAAAAATTTAGAGTGTGAATGTTGCTTTTACATTAACTCGTAAATATAGGAATTGTGTAGGAAAGAATGTAAAGGTCGTAGTATTTTAACTGTAAAGCGAGCCCCATTAAAATTGGGCTCCAAGGTCAAAGTAAATGAAATGTGTTTTTGTGACAGTACAGTTTCGTTTAAAAATTAAAGTTAATTCAGTGACTCTCGGACATGGAATTTCTGGGAAAATTATAATTTTATAATTGTATATAGAATATTCTCTGAATATGTGTAACGAGTGTATGAATGGATATTTCACGATTTTTTGAATGCTGCTTCTACTACATTCTGAAAATATTTCGAAATATTCCGGAATATTCTTGAAATGTCACGTTCTACAAATATTTCAGGAATATTTAGCGTTAATTGGGGTCCGTTTTACATTTCACCTTGAGTAACACATACTGATAAATTATTCCAGACTCATTCTGAACTTTCGCGACTCCCCTTTCATTATTGTTCAAACGTTTCTTAATCTCGCTCGGATTGAAGTCGTGATAATCGATCGAGATCTCCCTTCCTCCCTCCCTCTCCCCCCCCCCGCCCCTGCGGAAATTCTCTCACGTGGTTTCCGCGCTCTCCGCCAACCTTTCCTTCTACCCCCTCAGAAACGAAAGCCTGGACTCGGTTATTATTGTCACGTGGGGCGAGGAAGGGGAGTGTCGCGCTTCGATCTCGGAGATGATGCGCGTCCGAAGAATCTTGTAGAAGAAAAACGCACGCAAAGTGGAGCACTCGCACTGTGTCGTTTAGTTGGATGTTTCGCTGAAGTTTCTCCAAATTCGACACGCCGCTTCGGATCGACTCGATTTATACTTTCCGAGATCTGCGCGCGATTTGAGGAACCCAATCGCTCAGCTGCACCAACACGGGTCCAGTCGGGTCCGATCAGGCGCTGTCGCGAGATGAGATTCTCGGATGCGCGGTGGTTTCGATATAGTTCAATATTTGTTCGTGTAGCGCTTTATACAAGCGCTTAGCCGGCGATCTCGTCAGTACAACGCGACTGCACATCCCGGACGCGATCCTCTTCGTCTCCGTGCTTCTCGACGTTTATTTCATCTTTCCATCCTCGAAGGAAAAAGAAAACGCGAGCGTGGACCAACGCGAATCTCGTAAATGTATTCGCGCATCGGGGAACTCTTTTCCCAGCAGAAATCGTAGCTGATAATAAAAAACGCAGCAACCCCCTTCGATTGTGTGATTTGACTGTTTAGTAAAGTTTACTCACGATCGTTGGATAAAATGCTCGGAGTAGATATAAAATAGGAAGGGAAACGCCGGAATATTTGTGACTGCATTACTCTATAACGCGAATGCTACGTTCCAGAACTGTTCGCGCATCCCATTTACTTCGTACGAAATTTCTTACCTTAGTGTAATATTGTGATAAAATCGTGTCTGTGAATTAGTTGTTATAGTAGATAGAGAGGTATCGTCTACGATATATTTCTTGTTTCGTGACGTTAAGTGAGCGTGAACGTGCTGCTAAGAAGGACGAACGTGTTCCTCGTGCACGTTTCTGCTGCGTGTTTCTTTCCTTTGTGGACCAAATGTCGCTCATCTCCGTCATCGAGCCAGTGGATGACAGAGGTGCGAAAAAACGAAACACCACGGAGTTTCCGAGTTGCCTAAATTATTGATGAGGCATAAGACAAAACTTTTGTGTCGTACACTGAAAAAAATATTAAATTTTTAAAAATATTTCTTTGGATAAGTTTAAGTAAATATTTATTAAATATAAACATATACATTTACTTGATATAAGAATCACTGAGTTAATTTGATTTAACTTATTATTGTTTATTTATATATATATATTAGTAATTTTTTTTCAGTGTATGGCAGATTTCGCGACACTATGAAAACTTTGTTACATTTGAAAGGAGTAATAGAAATGTATAAATTTGTATCCGCTTGAAAAAATAACATTTTTTTTTTAATCGCGTTTAATCGCGTAAAGTTGCACTTCACGGAGAAAAATTTGAGAAAGGATTCAAGCAAAGCTTGCTGCGCGAGTCTAACATTTGTAACTAAAAAGATTTGAGGGTTTAACACGAAAATTAGTCTGTAAGTAATTATTAACATGATAATTCAGCCAATCCTTTTCTGCAATAAAAGTTGCTAATATAACAATAAAAATTGCTAATATTTTCTTCATAGTAGCAAAAATATGTGTTGCCTTAGCTAGCATATTTCGTCAAAAAATGTTGATCTATATATTAGATTAATTTTAGAAAGTTGCTTTACAACAAATATGATTACCTAATTTCATTCAACTATGTAACTAACTTTGTTGCTTTAACATAGAAAACTGGCTGTTAGTAAATTATGACTGTAGATTTGCTGAATCAGTGAAGTTTTCAGTTGTTTTAACGAATCTTTTTTTTTCCATGTGTTTTTCTCTCGTGATATCTTTCATCGCGAAAGAAAAAAAGACACCATTAATTTGTAAAAGAAGTTTTAGGAGTAAGTTGTTATTAATCTTTGAACTTCCAAGATGAAAAACTTTCATGAAGAACTTTCACGTGTTGCACACGACGGCGGGAAAATATATTTGTAATTGGGATGTAGTAAACCGACGGGACAGAATTTCGATCGTATAAGGAAATTCGTGTCTCTGAAAGACAGATAGTACGATTTCGCGTTCAATATCCGTACTCGATTTATGCGGAGTGCTTCCAAGACGAAAGGTCAACACTTCAGAAAGACGTCGACAGTATGTCATTAAGGGGAAAAAAAAGTTTCAACGAGTCTCTATCACAAATTGCAAAAAAGATCGAAAATGAAACTTCAGCAAAAACTTCTGTTCGCATAAAGCTCTAAAAGGATATGATATTTCTCTCTGACACCATTCAAGATGCTAATGTTAAAACTCCGAAAATTACTGTCTATATTCCTCCTTCGTTTATTACCGCGGAGACCGGATTTTGCTAAACTAAACGAGCTAACACGCAGCGTTTTGCATTTACATAATTGAACGACAGATCATTTTTTACGCGACGGCTTTTGCAATCCACGTCGAATTCTTGGAGACTGTTCTCTCGAAAATACAATCGGCCAATTACGTAAATGTTAAACGTGACGTAGCAAACATGCATAAAATTGTCATCTATAATAAAACATGGGCCTTCATTTTATTATCGCGATAATTCATAATTATGTATTTATAGATTCAAACTACCGCAGTCGATCAAATGAAAAATCATTCGTATTCAACGATATTGTCAATTTTTCCTTTTTCTATTATCCTCGTTAATAAGAACCAGAGTAAACTGCCATTCATCGCTCGCCTTTAATTACATCTTATTTTACATTTTAATTAATCAACATTTAATCAATGTGATTGCTCTCCATATATTTTTTCTTTCCTTAGTTTAATAGTAATTTTGTCTTTGTTTAATCGAAATGTCTCTTGTATTTTAGAGCCACCAGTCGGCCGATTTGCTTCCAGAAGGAAGAGCGTTTTCGCGGAGACTTACAATCCCGAGGATGACGAGGAGGATGACGGCTTCAAGGTATATATATCACGTGTGTTACTGTTATTATTCCACGAATTATTACGCACGTTCCCGATAACAAGACCGTACGAATGACGCATCGATTGCGAAAAGTCTCGCGTCCATATTTCCTCTCCCCCCCCCCCCCCCCCCGCCAAAAAAAAAAAAGAAAAAGATTTGAAGAAGTGTCAATTGATTGAACAAATTACGTATCGATGCCACGATAAAAATTCTGTTAATGCAATATAACGCGCCAATAGTACGCGTAATGATGCTCCATTTGGCTTGATAGTTGCTCGAACGACGGTAGATTTGTTCGTCCCAAAACGTCGTTTGGCCGTTTCTCTTCTCGATATGCGTCACGTCACGTTGCCGTCGCTTTTAGACTTTGTATCATCAGATGTTGCAACAGCTAATATTTCTTTTTTCCCAGCAACAAAGGCTTTGGAAGTATGCATTTTTTACGCTTGTCACGTCCGTCCGAATTGGCGAAAACCGATGCGGCAATTGTAGCTGCGTAAGTAATCGCCGAGACCGCAAAAATACGTGTTTGGCCGATGGAAAAATCGTGTTGACGTAAGAAATTCCGCGCGAATATACTGAAACGTGATACGTGAGAATAGCTGACTTTTTAATAAAGTCTATATATTGTACATATATTATATTTTCGCTCAGAGAATTAGATAAAAATATTGAAAT